CTGTTGCCTTGGGGAGTTTTAATTTTGCTGGTCGCAGCAGGAGAATCGGGGTCTGGCATGAGCCTAATCAAGCCCTTTTTATGCTGAATATGCAAAGTTCCACCTTCTTGTTTTCAGACCACAGAGCCGTTCAGATGTTGGAAACTTCCTGAAGACACTAGCTAGGAAGAGCTACAGTAATTTGATTGGATGCATTCTGGCAGGTCATACTGGTGGCTGATAATTGAATACAGTGTAGAACCAGGATCAGAGGCCGGTCGTGAAACCACTGGAGTGGAAATAAAGCCTTTGACTGCTTTGTTTTATTGGGTTGTCTTGTTTGTTGGCATTAATAAGATCAAATGGTTGATAGGAAGTGACACAGAAGCTCTCTGCTGAACGATTAAACCAGAAACACAGGCACATAATTCCCACTTTTTGCTTCATGCTTTTATGACATGTTTAAGCCATTTTGGGTTTTTATTCTAATTCATATGTAAATTAAAATTTTCACAGTGTAGGTGGAAGACCAGATGCAATTACTGGAGATATTCTTTGAAATGATGGAAATATTCAAACTGGTTTCCAGTGCTGTCTGGCAAAGTGCAAATCTGGATGCACTAAGCCCCGTTTGAACATTACTTTAAACGGTTCCATCGTGTTACAATCCAAATGGGGAGGTGTGGGGGGCAGGGGGGGGTGTTCAGATAAGGTAGTAAGTCCAAAGTTTTGTTTACAACCCTGGTTTGAAGGGGAAAAAGATAAATCAGCATTTAGAAAAACCATATAAATATGGATTAATGGAATCAGAGCCTATTAATTTTCCACAAGCCCTGTGGGATTTTGTACATCAATTTCTAAATAAGCAGATATGCATGGAATAACATGCTCGATCCATATATTTTCAGGCACAGTTCCTGGATGCCTTGTAACCTTTGTTTAAGTAATTTGTCTTTTTAAAACAAGTTTCTTTAGAGTAGGATTTGAAACACACCATTATTTGCATTATAGGAACACACCATTACATCTGAACCATGCATTCTCCATCAGTCCGCTCAGTGCAATGTTTAGGAAAATGGTATATTTAGGATAGAGAAAAACATACTAACTAACTTTGTCAGGGAAAATGACCTCAGCTCAAATGAAAAAGGACATTGAACAAATCAGGAAACTTCATTGAGGTCAAACGGAAACACTCCACGGTTGAAGGAAAAAAGAAGAAATGTGAAATTGTTTTAATATACAACAGTGTTTTACTGAAACCCTATTAAATATCATTAGGCTTCTGCTGGGAATATTGCATTAGTGTGGAGACATATTTCCACATTATTCACCCGAGTTCAGAAGAGCATAAATGAGGGCATTAGTAACTGCAAAAGGATACTGATCTGGCATGTAACACATTCTAAAGAGTTAGCAGAGAAATTACATTTATTTGCCAAACTGATCCAGTACAACACACAAATTTGATTCTCTTATACAGCTATGTATTTTACTCAAATGATTTAGGTTACTTGCCTGTGTCCTTAACACCACCTGCTGTACTGTATTACACATAACTCCACAGCAATTTAAAACAATATTAATTTGGCAGTAATTGGTACCTGTTTGGCTGGAGCAGTAACATTTTATACTAAAGAGTTGCAATCACCAGTAAAAGTGACTTTAAATCCTGTAGTGGTCAGGGTTAGCTAATAAAGACTGTCTTGTCCTGCTTTTATGCCAAATACACCGATTGTTAAGCCAGTGCTGCCGATTCAGCAGCTCATGGGTGCAGACTGGGCAGCAGGTGGTCATCGAAAGCTTACTGTAGTGTGAAAAGGATATGATCTGGGCGGTATAAATACTCAATAACTCAGACTTTTACTATCAATAAAGAGTCCAGCCAGGGCTGTCAGAAAAGCTTCATCGACTCCAGCAAGCATGGCTGTAGGAATGTGCCTCTGCCCAGCCTGAGTAAATTATGTGCATTATGGCGTTCTGAAATCCCACCTCTCTTTAAACCGATGTTCTCCCCAGTGGCTCCAGGAATTAATGGAGAGCTCCACTATGACGTATCTACAGTACAGAAAGTGGGTGACTGTGACTGCCATCGACCACAGGACACGGTACTAAATTATGGTTCTTTAACACATGCGACCGTCTTTAAATAAAAATCAATTAGTGTCAATTTGCTGCAGCGGGACTGGACCGGAATGACATCCTTCCGAATTAAGTTAATCGTGGCTGACATGGCTGTAGTCACTCTGGATGCATGTGGGAAATAAATGACGAATTAAAAAATAGCTGCTGTGATATTAAAGGCGGCCGTTGAATAGAATAACAACAACATGTTTATTCAGAAGGATGTCTGCAGCACTATTGTGCTACAAATTTTACAATCAGATGACTGCAGATAATTGTGCATTGGCAAGAATTTTCTGTTTACTCAACACAAGTGCTTCAGTTTCATATGACAGATTTAGAGAAATACACATTATAATATAGCTGCACGAATTCCAGCGTTAATATGGATTATGCAGGCGCTCCTTCCTTCTTTGGGTAATAAGTGTTACAAGTGTAATGTCTGGCAATCTAAGCAGGTGCAAATGTTTTGCATCCAGGTTTGTGTTAAAAGCAAAAGTGAATTAACAGAAATCAAAGACAGGGATCCGCAAGAGATACCTTTCAAACAGGCACTTGAGTCACAGCTGTGATCAATATTACTGTCATAACTCAGTACTAGGCCCTATTAGACTTTGCAGACTTTGAAAATCTCGACTGAATTCATGAATGTTTGTCGACAAACATGCTCATCTTTGTCCTTGTATTCTCGCCTGTGTTTTGTCCAACATGCCAAGTGGTGGATGTATTAAAAGGGTAAGACGAGGATAGAATTAGGAACACTAAAATTGTTCTTTTTTTCTTTGTCTGTGCTGTACAACCTAGTATTTCTAAAAAGTAACACTTTGACTGTGGAGCGTTGATATTCACCGCAGTGTATTTCAGGTAGCCTACTTTCAAGTTCAATGTATTCAGTAATCCCCGGGCATGCCGAAACTTTGGGCTGCTCTGCTACTTTGAATGATAAATGATGAAAGATTTCTCACAATGCCCTGTATGCGAAACATTCTTTGTAGCTTTGTTTGTTTTGTTATTACTATTTTTATTGTTATTATGGCTGTTGGTGCGATACAATGAGCCTGCCCCCGTCACTGGACCAGCTATGGCACTCCTGTCATCTGTATGGACATCGGCTCCCCAGTCCCGCCCCTCTGTCTGTCTCTATGCTATTTCACTGATAAATGGTAGCAGATTTATTTCATCCTGGAAACAGTTAGCTGTAAAGCCATATTTCTAAAACCAAAAGCTGTCTGTATAGTATATTACAATGCACCATGATTTCCCAACCCATTGCCCAGATTTTTGTTTCTCTGTCTCCCCCTGGCTCACAATAATATTTTCGTAATGCTTTACATTAACTGCACCTTCATAATGCATTCATAGAACATTCATGAGCAGCATGTAAGCATACTTTAATAACTTTAATATACATTAATAACAATCTTTATATGATTATGTTTGTTATCATATAATGTTTGCTATTAATGTATATTAAAGCTTTTGAGGTATGTTATGTCCCGCGAGACTTAAAAACCCAACAAAAGAGAATAGACAACAATAGGTAGAATGGAAGCAACTATATACTTTAATCCAAAGGTTACTTCAGTATGAAAAAAATGAAAGAACATTTAGCCTTATACCGTGCAGGCAGTTGAGTTTGAAAATTTAGAACGCTTAACTTAATTGGTTACATCACTGGTTATTTGAAAACTTATAATGCATTACATTTCGAGAAATATGAAACATTGTCGCGAGTTTAGATCAATTTTTTTCCCCATGAGCAAACAGGTACGAATCCATCACTGAGGCTTTCAAAGGAAGATAAAATAGTACCTTTTAAAGCTGCGTTTGCAATTGATTCATTCTGCATCAAACTAAAAAATCGATACCGAAAGTCTTAATATGTATACATAGTCCGAGATAAAAGGGCATTTTCAGAAAGATTTATCACCCGAGCCGATATGTGGCTTTGCTCCATATTTTATGATTAACCATTTGACATTATGACTTGACAAGTGGAAAATTGCGGATGACTGAACGATTATCTACAATGCATATAAATGATTCAATCTGTCCGGCAGCTACGAATATGGTTCCAAAACTTTTTAGGACAGGAAGTTCATGTCTGCAATATTCTTGCTGAAAAAGCATTTTTACTGCAACTCTATCATTTCTAAAGTTAAATGTTTCTCTTTTTCAGCCGTTCTGTCTTGCTAAATAGAAAAAAATGACGATTTCTTCAACTGCATTTATTGATAAGTTTGTAAAGTTTATAGAGTATGTTGGAGCACGGCGTCTCCACCGGGTCCGTGGATGAGAAGAGATTCACAGCTGACACGGGGAGAAGTTGCAAATCACCGGTTTATTCTCTTGACTGATTATAATCAGGGAGCGGCCGTCTGACATACATTCAGCATGTACAGGAGGAGGCTCTGCCATATGTATCAGCTGTATCCCTTTTAAAGCCCTTTGGGCATCTCCCCCCCTCTCTCGGTGCCTTCTGTCTACGTGACAACCACATGTTTGACATTTACTCTAGTTAGTCGGTTAGTACTTGTCCTTGTGGAAGGCTAC